ATAAGTTAACTAATATACTTCACGTTTTAAACCGTTTAAAGTGATTTCATGAATCAATGCGATTAAACTTATCGAATTGTTTTCAATACTCTGTGGTCTAGGCTGAAGCGACCAGTTTGTGTAAGACAGGTGACTGATCACCTGCGCAAACATCGGCACCATTAAATTAACAACGAAAAACGCCAAGGGCATTACTATTTATCATTATATTTGTCGCCACGTGCATGTCTTTGTTTACATCGGGGTTGCCAGGTAGAATTAACCTTTTAAACTTTTAAACTATTAAAAAAAAAATTTTTTTCTATTTTTTTTATCCTGTACTTCAGGCTGCCTGAAAGAGATCGCAGCTTAAGCGATAAGATCGCCTTTTATTAATAAGTTTGTGCGTAACTTTTTATCTCTTGTATTTTCTGTGGTATGTATTATGAATAATAAAACTGTAAAAAATAAATAATAATGATTATATGGTAAATACATTAAAAAGATGAAACTTGGTTTTCTTACACTTGTCACATTTTTGTATCATCTGTAAAACACTCCACCGCGTTGTACATTGCCGTTCAGTGGTCTTGAGTTCGATCTTCGTTTAACACAAAAAATATACAACATAAAACTGATCACGTATATATACCGAGCTTATATGACAGATGTAATCTTATATTTATTAAATAAGACGTTTAACGGTTCAAAACGCGAAAGTTAACGCTTTTTAACTACGATCGCACGTTACGCACGTTTTTGTCAGATGTGGTCAAGGGGGGACTACTATATTTCGGGTTTGATACCGTTAATTGTGTTTTACATAATCTGTTCCATTTTTTGACTCATTACTATGAAAAATTTTTACTGTATAGGTATTTTAATTATCGTTTTGAAAGAAAAGAAGAAAGAAAAATTTATTTACTACTAGGGCACATAAAAACACATGTTACACTTATTACTAAACATAAAAAAAAACAAAACATAATTTTGTCTTAACAGTATAACTTAATATAACAAGATAGGATAATGTTGTGTTCTGCTAGTAGAGTAGGATATGCCTCAGTTTATATCAGGCCTTTTGTTGACCTGAAACTGATTTTCAGTAAGTTTCTTTCTTTTCTAATTTGTTAATCTGGTGTTGCTTCTAAATAATCTTTAAAAAGTATGGTCAACGGACTTGGTACACGTCCTGTATGGAAAACTTAATGTTATTAACTACAGATTCATGTACTCATGTAATTTGTCTGCGATGTAAACAAAAACTACTTGTCAAATGTCAGGTGTCAACGGTCTCGTGTTTGGTGTTACGAATAATAAGTGCCTTATAAGAAAAGTACGTGTAATGCCCCAAACACACGTAACGAATGTATCGTAGCGATTTCAGACTGCGGATAGACCGAACTTTGTGCGCTAGCGGTGCCCGCGACTTTGTTGGACCGCGTGGAATTGTCATTTTGGGCATCATTATTTAGTTTCGCAAATCACTACCTCAGCTTTATACATTATAGCTGTTACCCCTTGCGTTGTTCGCGTCCCGGCGTTGTTGCGAGCAATTCTTAAAAGATAGGTATGTCGCGAACATCCTTTATCTCTTTTTTTTGAACCGTTTTCTCTGCAAGCATCTTTGCGAACAAAATTTAAGATGATAATTTTGCCCGTTTTGACTATTACCGAGTTCTTCACAAGACCACAGTTCTTCGTGCAGGTTGCAGTCTGATGTTTTATAGTATTTTTCGATAAATGCTCCGACACACAACGATAAATGCAACACAACAATTCGAGCTAGTATTTCCTAAGATTAGCGCGCTCAAACAAGCAAACTCTTCAGCTTTTTATATTAGTATAGATATGGAAGTAAACTTTGTGTGTGAGTATGCGTAATGGATTAGCAATATTATAAAAAGACAATAATTTAAGATATTATAAAATTTAGCTTAATTTAAAATACAAAATTAACGATATCTTGTTTGTTAAATTCTGTTTACCCTTCTGGAGCATGGGACGAATATATTCTGATTAATAATCCTGATCACCTATAGTCGCCTATAAAAACCGAGGGTTCAATATGTAATTAAAACTCTTTTAGCGGTTTAAAATGCGAAATATATTTGCTAACTTATTTCTTACTAGGATCCGACGTTTCACATACGAAGCAGCCATAGATGCTCTCAATATTTCGCGTTTTAAACCGTTACAATTTTAATACAATTGAAGGTCTTTTTATATAATTGTGTACCAATCACGTAAACTACGACGTACTTGTTATGTATATTCGTTGTGATAGCAAGTAGATTTTTTTATGTGAGGAAATCTTTTCGTATACCCACCGCACCAGAAGGAGCAAATAGATCCTGTCGTATACCGACTAGTCAGAATTAAATAAAAAACCAACCGTTAAACACGCAATATATATTTCACATTTCGCGTTACCACCAACGACCAAGCAATCCGAAACGTCGGGCCGTGGTTAAAAATAATTTTCAAACAAGTTTAACAAAAATATATCGCGTTTTAAACCGTTAAAGTGTTTTATTTGAAGGAGCAAATAGGTTATGTCGGAAACGACTAAAACCACACAGTAGAACCTCTGACACAAATATGAAGCAAATAGAATTTGCATTGTCCTTTGTTAATTCGTCGAGTTCATTGACATAACGAAATACTAACTGTCGAATTACTATCAGACTACCTGTTAAACCACCTCGCCGTTTCGTATCTCTCACAGGTCGAATTTTGAAAAATTGTCACCTTCGCCTTTACTTCCGCTTACTATCGGTTCATTCAAGTAATAAGGTAACATTCTGCATCAGCCCGTTCTACTTTCTAAGTTATCCTTGTGGGGACGAAGTTCTATAAACTTTGCACCTTGAAATTAAGTTTAAGTTTGCCTTAACGGTATTTTTACGCTGGAAGGTCACAATTCTTAAGTGCGCTGTGTTTTATTATGTATATTTTTAAATAAAACACTTAACGGTTTAAAACACTAAAGTACTAAGTACTTATATATTTTTAACTAAGGTCTGACGAATATACGAATTAAATTTGTAACTAAGGTTATTACTATATTTCGAGTTTTAAACCGTTAAAAGTGGTTTATTCAAATGTGTACTATTCTATACTAAAGACGATAGTACTTATATTTTCTAGTATAAGTTTTAAAAACATATATTTTTAATTTAAAAGAGAGCGATGAAACACCCCATAGATATGCTGTCGCCCTATTTTGACTTATGACACTCAGCAAAACCACAGACGAAAACCGAAACGTGAATGTACACGTCACGGTACCTTGTAGACAGTCGTTCTTACCATCCATTTAACGTCCACATTTTTAAGACCAAGTTTAACATGTTTCAGAAGATTTTTTTTTTTGGGAAAACGCATTGTATTCAGTTGGAATCGTATTAACTACCCGTTGTTTATTAGCCCTGTATAACCATTCGACCATTTGTTTTGTCACACTGTATATTTATTAGAACTTTACGCATTTTTTTCTTAATTCCTATAGCAGTATGCTATAGCCATAGATTTTTGGACCTGGTCTATATCCTTCGTGTGTACAAAAGAAGCGTACCATATAAATTAAGTGTGAAGTAAACAGGCGTCTGTATGAACTTCGCGTGACCCTGATCAAAGACATACAGATAATTTGCACCTGCATATATATTGACGTCATTGCGAAAAATTGCGCCACACCACTCCAACAGTGCGAATAATTTAAGGTTTCAAATATATCAAACGAGAACACATTATTACATCTATACTAATATATACAGCTGAAGAGTTTGTTTGTTTGAACGCGCTAAGCTCAGGAACTACGGGTTCGAATTGTAAAATTCGTTTTGTGTTAGTTAGACATTTATCGAGGAAGGCTTCAGGCTATGCAACAACTGCGACAAATAAGAGAGAAGACACAGTGGAGAATATAGAAGAAAAGGGGAGAATTATTAATTTTTGAGAGCTTCCGCTGTATGCAAACCAAAAAGAAAATGTATAAAATATGATCCCTCTTTAAATTATAAAAAATGTCCGTGACAGTATCACTCTTACAACAACAAGGACTGACTTAACCTCGTGTAACCCTGGTATAATTAATGCATTATTACACAGTTAAGTTTTGTATAGGTTCTATATGTCTATCTTTTGATACGCGCGAAAGTTTTTGATGATATTAAACAGATTTGCGTTATCAGGTTAGTCATATAATATAATATAATATAAATCTTTATAAAAGAGGGGCGATGGAATACCGATTTTCAAAGCGCCCCCCCCTTCGGTAAAGAGAAGAAACATCTTACCGTATATAATAGATAACCCAAAAACATCTCAATAATAAAACAATAGGGACTAAAAACGTTATTTTACATCCAATATGTATCGATATTGGTAACGTACAGAACCCGCTAGTATATACTGGCGAGCACACTTGGTCGTTAATTAATAAGGGAGCGATATGCACCTTGCCGCACTAGTTTACCCTCGCCGACCGATATTTTGATAAATCTCTGCTTCAGATGGATTTAAGGTGTTTTTTTTATTTTAAGTTACTTATAGTTAATGCCTTGACCACCTCTGTAGCCAAATGGTTAACCGTATTGCCTAGCATTGCGTTAATCGGGAGAGGTCCTGGGTTCGAATCCCAGGGAAACCAATAATTGTTTCGGTCAGGCAGGGCACAGAAGTCTAATTAACTTGCCTGTTAAAGAACGGATCAGTGAAACGTACACAGAAATGTGTTCGCCCCATGCCCCACGAGGGGGAAACGGAATTTTACACACATAGTTAATGCCTGATATTAATTTGTTGTAACATCAATGTGTCACTGAAGATAGAATGTTTTTTTTTCCAATAGTATTAAAACCTGCAAATAATCCGTACTAATATTATAAAGCTGAAGAGTTTGTTTGTTTGTTTGAACGGGCTGGTCTCAGGGACTATTCGTTTGAATTAAAAATTTATTTGTATGCTGGTTGGAGCATTTAACAAGAAACAAATTAACTATTGTTTTGTTTAAAAACATGGAGTTTCACTATGTTCCGTTAGTATGCCTTGAAAGCTGTTTCATTATGCAACTTACGCAGTGTCAAATGTCTTTCCAGGGAGGAAGGCGAGGAGAAGCCGAAGGCGGCGGAGAGCCAGGACGATGGCTACGAAACGAGCAACAGCGGCGAGGCGCGGCGGAAGCCCTCCAGCACGGAGGGCTCGCCCGCACCCCCCGTGCCCCGCACTCCACCTCCCGAGCCGCCCTTCGAGCCCCTCCTTCAACGGCCCTTCCCGTCTCCCTATCGACATTTCGAACCCCCAGCGCCAGCGCCGCCACCGCATCCCCACGACCCCGAACCGTACCAGCATTTTCCCTTCCCCAAGTACAATCACCCCCAGGACGCGTACGGTTTCAAACGGGAGCCGGACGCGCCGTACGACATGAGCCAACACCATCAGATGCCACACCAGTTCGGTGCTAAACGTAGTGAGGACTTATACAACGGAATCAAACAAGAGTGTGAGGATCCCTATTCGTTCGTGGAGGACGACGCCATGTGTGCTATGCTTGGCCAGCAGCACCACATACCGCCGCACATGCAGCACCACGAACACCACCCCCATCAGCATCCGCATATGCAGATGCACCCGCAACAGATGATGCTCAATCAACCGAAGAAACGAGGCAGAAAGAAGAAGATTAAAGATGAAAATGGGTGAGTTTGCCTTTTTTATCATGTCGTAACGTTAATATAGTTTTGAGTTTTTATTACTGAAATGGTCTTTACGTTACGGAATTAGGTGATGGGTTAGGATAAAAGTTATTAAAACAAGACAATTTAAACGGTTTAAAACGCGAACATATAACTTTAACTTATTTACAACCACGGCTGCTGAAACGTGTCCGAAACGTCGTTCTTAAAATTGTAAATAAGTTTTCCTATTTATTTTGTGTTTTAAACCGTTAAATGTGTACTACGAGCGTAATTATTTTTAGAAGATTTAAACGTCTTACATTCCTTCACATTTATTGTTGGTACTTGTTTCCCGCTTGGTGTTAAATATGAGTAGTGTTACAGTACAATTAGACGATGTGGCGAGTATCAGGAAGTACTGGGGGGGGGGTTGTAACACTTCAATGACCCATATCTCGCGATAACATGGGCTTAGAGGCCTTATTGCGTGCATGGTCCGACCCTGTCAAGCCAGGTTAGCCTCAATACGTTCCAATGTTGAACTGGCAACTGGTACAAACTAACACCCCAGTTGCCAACATTGGATCTAGGTCTGACCATCTATATGAACTAACTAAACTATTTCGCAACATACATCTAAATACCACGGTTTTAAGTAATTTGAAAATTTATATTATCACATGTTATTGCACATGTTGGCACTATATATATTTGAAAGTGTTTAAGACTGGAATAATTTTGAGAGCAACAGCACGGAACGCTGTGGTTGCTGGTTCAAGTCCCGTCTGTGTCGTAATTTTTTTTAAATTGATTAACATTTAATATTCGCAAGTATTAGCTGTTAAAAAGTTCTATGCTATACTAAAACAATAGAAAGAATTGTCTGCAATTTTTAAAATCTGTTCTGCAACTTACGCACTCTAAATTGAACGGTATAAAACGCGAAATATATTATGTAGTTTGTTTTTAACTATAGGAGATACCCCGTGTCCACAGTTGTTTGTAAGTAACGTCATTGTTAACTTACATCGTTTCTTATTTAATACCTTTTTGCATAATGTCGAAGATTCATATTTTTTAACACTACGCTTAGACACTGTTTGTCGTTTACGCGAGTAGAACAAATTTAAAACACTTAACAGCTTAAAACGCGAAATTTATTATTATAACTACCCTTACACATTTCGCGTTTTAAACCGTTCAGAGTGTTTCACTTGAACAGTACTCTACCAATTGCACTTCGCTGTTTACAAATTCGCCTCGCTGTAAGGGAAGTAAAGTTTTGAGTTAGTTGGAAATTTGTTGAACAACAAAGTTACTTGCGGAACTATTTCTGAACTATGCACGAACTTTCAGCTCTGAGCGTGGCCTCGTCTTGCGTAATATTGTTTAATGAAGTGAGGAATATGTTAATGCATTCATAGGACATGGGTATGGAGGAGGAGAAGGGGGGAAGTTGTACATTAATAGGTTCTTGGGAAGAACGGACAATACTAGGTTGTTCACACCTAAAAAACAAATTTTAACTGCTTATATGCAAAGTCATTAGTTAAATACTGTCTATAGTTTACGCGAGTAGTACACATTTAAAAAAAAACTTTTTACGTTTTTAAAACGGATATATTAGTTAAACTTATTTGAAAATGATTTTTAACTTCGGCCCGACGTTTCGGATGCTTTTGCAGCAGCCGTGGTCACGTCTCCCCTTACCCCCGCCTCTGCAAAACCCCCCAAAACCTCGGCCCAATTTTTAATTTTTTTTTTAATTAGTTAAATTATTAATATCGCGTTTTAAACCGTTAAAGCTGTTTTTTAAAAGTCTATTAGTTACATTATATACTACTAGCTGTGCCCGCGACTTCGTCTGCGTGGAATTGTTGTTTTGGCTTTGTAAATCATGGCTGTTACCTACGACGTCGTTAATGTTAACAGATAGACATAGGTTTATTGTCACTGATATTTTTAGATCACTTAAATAAGTCATTCTTTTATACATATCTTTCGGTTTCTTGACCGTTTTCCTAGCGCAATGGAAGCCCCCAAAGCTAATAGTTGCACCGTTTTTCCTACATTTCCCTCCGGTTCTTCGCTCCTATTCATCGCAGCCTGATGTTTTGTAGCCTAAAGCTTTCCTCTATCAACAAACACAAAAATAATTATACAATTCAAAACTCGCATTAAAACAAACAAACTCTTCAGCCCTAAAATATGAGTAAAGATGTGTGAAAAATGATGTACCGACCGTTTCTGAAGATGGAGAGTGTCCCTAATTTCAACGTCAAATATGCTGCGCTAGCACCAACCCCACGTATGAAAAAAATGCTTAGTGAAATAGACATTGGTCTAAATTATTATTAGAGATAAATCTAAGATATTTCATGACACCTATCTTAGGTGTTATGAAATATCTTTATCCACATGTTACAATTTAATTTAGATTAGATACTTGTGCATATAGACTATTAATAATAAGAATTTTTGAATTAGTTCTGAACGTCATAACGGGTCTTTTGTCTAATAATGAATTTATAATTTTTTGTGGGACGTTGAACTACGTTTCGAAATCTGGATATTCTATTCGTAGAAATATTTTAAAACTTATCATTTATCCACCATTGTTCATAACAGTGTCCTTTCGATGACTCAGGCCACGGTACGGAGTGTTCGACGATGATGTGTTTCTTTGAAATTCCCTCGCGAGTGAAAGACAAGGCCAAACAACGCATTATTTCAGAGCTATTCGTAACGTTAATGACGTAGGACACCTTTCGTTGCGGCTTGCATAATCTACACCGAGGGTTTTATCTGCTCTGGCCAGTGCAATTGTCAATTAAAAGGGGTGTTAACTCATACATTAAATTAAGTTGAATTAAACTTATCTGTTTAAATAAAACACTTTAACGGTTTAAAACGCGATTAGCAGTGGTTACGGCAACTGCAAAGCTCGTACGTCGGACCGTAGTTTTACCGTAGTAAAACATTTTTCAAATAAGTTTATGTATATCTTAACTTCAGACAGTATTCAAACTTATCTGTCCAATTATACATATACACTGTACGGTTTAAAAAGCCTAATATTATTAGTTTTATTTCTATTTTCGTTTTGACACTTGTCAGGATCATAAATAAATGAGTACGTTTAAGGGAATATTGAAATAATTAATATTAGGAAAGGTGGGGCACAGTTTATTTATTTATTTAGTTTCGCGTTGATTATTTTTTGTTAGCATCTCCTTACGGCAATTATGTCTATTACGAGTGATTTTGCCTTCAGCGAGAACGGCCGATTCGGTGGGAGTAGCGCAAGGAAAGATTGCGGCGCGGTACCGCGGTAACGGCGTGGGAGCAGCGGCCGCTGACCCCGGACCGATTTAGTATCGCGTCCCATATCAATGGTATCACCATGTCCCGTCAACGATGTCCTATATCGCCATCTAAATATACGCCATACAAACTCTTGCGCCGGTTCTTTGGGCATCAATAGGTCCGACAATTAAAATAATTATTTTTATGAGAGATGCTTGCTTTAAACTCCAAAACTTCTCGAGCTCGAAGAGCTAACATCTCCTGATGATGCTGTCCGCTCGTGATGGCGAAACGTTGATAACCTCTTCTCGCTTACGTCGGCCGAACAGCCCAGAAAACAATGATATGCATGCCTAATTTTGTCAATATCTGGATATTAAGTGGGTAGTTGGAATATCTCTCTATGTGGTGTGAGTGTAATCGTGTCTTGGTTTTAGTCTGTGGACCTCCGAATGTCCAAAATCGAAATACTTTGACAGCGCATCCTGTTTAGATGATTTCACCTTTTATCGAGTGCATCCCATGTTTGTCCTCTTCTGTAAAAAATAGGTTATGTCTGCGGAGAAAAGTAATTGACGATGTTAACTCGCCTGACGTCGTTTCCCCTTTCCCCTCTATCTCGATCCCTCCTTTCTTCAGCCAGAATATAAATGCAGTATTTTACGCTCTAATATAGACGAACTCAAAAGTCCAAATAAATTTCTATATCATCATCATTTTAGTAAAGTGAAGAAACGAAAGATTTATGTTCCTTTATTTATAGTATAGATAAGGTTGCTCAAGTGTAACAAATTAAACCAAGGTTTTTATCACATTTTGTAAGTAAAGTACTGTGAGTAAAGTTCTGTTCGCAAGCATCGGCATTTTAAACCGTTAAAATTGTTTTATTTAAAAGTATATTTACTTCGTGAATGAAACATATCTAGTACGTGAAACTTTGAGAAAAAATATAAATTAGCTCAGTCATTGTAATCACGGATTCGTGTGTGTCACATTTATTTTATTTGGTATATCTTTCACAAATAATTATAATTCATGTTAATATTATCATCTAGTGGAAGACAAGTATTTGTCTTCCGTTCGGGGACTCACGGTGACCTTGCAAAACTCAGGCTCTACATAGCTTTCTGCTATTGAGCCAAAAAGATAAAATATCTGGTGCAGAGTGTGCGCCTTATCAGAGCTGATGTGATAGTGGCCGGCCGCAAACGTTTCCGGAGCGTATCGCTCCAAGGTTGTGCGCAAATGAGCTGGTGGCGAAAACGCTAGTGTTCAAAACATTTGACGATCGCTTCAAGAGACAAAATTAGAACCAAGCAAACCCAAACGACTTAAGATTGAGATATATCCCCATTTTATGACATAGAAGGGTGACATGGTAACTTGATGGAAGGTGAAAGACGCCAGTCGTTTATCATCTAAACAAGAGTCAACGATTTTTGGCTTTGGATTAAATTTGATGGCCTTTTCAACCTTTGTGGACGGTCACGTGCGAGGTTTATTTTTATGAGAAAATCCAAAGCGAAGATTTTCTTATAGCATTAGTTAATCAGCCCTTAATTATTTGAATTTTATACTCTTTCGTCCGATGCTAGTTAGTTTATTTTGTACCTTACCGATATAGTTTTAGTTTAGTTAGTCATTTATTTTTTTTGAAATCGAAAATAAATTGAAAAAATTTTTTCGACTCGGGCAGGACTTGAACCGGCATCGTC